ATTAGTCACACAGGTGGATGGATACATGGCTGGGTGGATTTAGATGTACAGCTGAATGTGTTGGCTGCATTGCTGGGTTCATGGCTGGATGGAATAGCTGCCTGGATGGATACATGGTTGGATGGATTAGATGCATGGCTGGATGGCTTAGCTGCATTGATAGATGCATGGTTGGATGGCTTAGCTGCATTGATGGATGCATGGTTGGATGGATTAGATGCATGGTCAGATACATGGCTAGATGGATTAGATGCATGGATGGATATATGGCTGGATAGATTAGACGCACAGGTGGATGGATACATGGCTGGGTGGATTAGATGTATGGATGGATACATGACAGATGCATGGGTGAATGAATATGACCAAGTAAGAGAGTCTTCTTGCAAATAAGGGAGATTCTGGATGTCACAGGAAATCTAGGAAGACAGGAGATCTAGACCTATCCAGGGACCAAGTTAGGGAGTCCACGAAAAGAAGCCAGAGACTCACCTGACAAGCTTCCAGTTTGTGGATCAGGCCCACTATGCTGGGAACTTCCTCAGAAATGTCTGGTGTAGGAAGAGAAGGGAGACGAGAGTGACAAGCTTGTGGGCAGGTTCTCTGAAAGCCGAGGAGGGCCAGGAAGTCCTGGGAATGCCAAAAGACCGAGAACAGGGTGACAGGAGAGGGTGAACTGGCAGCCTTTGTGTCCTTGCCAAGTTTGGGGAATTCAAAAATAGGAAAAGCAACAAGAAAGGAGGGAACACAAGAGACTTCACTTACTTAAAGCCCAGTGGGAGACACTGAACATTTTTCCGTAAATGCCTACAGCTTGATAGCTTCAGACAGCCAGATTTCATAGACTTCCTGCAGAAACTCCTCTGTCATTCCTTCTCATCGCCATCCTCCTCCTCATCCAAGCTGTTCTTAGAGCCTGCTGTCTGCAAGGGGCTCTTACTCCACATCTCGTGTGGCATTGGCTTATCTTCATAGCCTTCCATATCTTGAATGCCTCCTCTCTGGCCTTTAATCTGCTGTCTCCCTTCCCATCTATTTTTATCCTTGCCATGATACTATTATTTTGCTACTGCCCATCCCCCCTGCTGTCCTGTTATTGCCATTCCTCCCCTATCCCCCTCCCACACAGTGCCTCTTCCATGATCTGAATAGTGCTGTCCTTTCACAGGTGGATTTCCACGCAACTGCTATTTTGGGGTTAGTTCTGTCTCCTGCTTTGTACCAGAAACCTGAGTCTCAATCCCAGACTCCTCATCTTAGCACACAGAAAAGCCACCTCACCTGTTGGCAAACTTATCCCAAATGGAGCCCAAAAACACAGTGGGTCTCTAGGCTTACTGTCTTCCCCAGGGTGACCTAGATAATAGATATGCTTGGCCTTTTCTGGTGGGAGAGCTGAAGTGATTAACCCTTTCCCAAGAGAATTAGTGACCTAGAGGTGGTTTTGACTGAGCCTTGACTTTGGACGCAAGCTCTGTCCATCAGCTGATCCACACAGGATCATCTGGTGGTTCCTTCTTCTTAGGGCGCCAATGGCCAATAAGAAATGGATGAAGATAATGGTATAGACACATTGTGGTTTTTATGAATGAGGCCCATTGATGATCAAGAAATGAATCCATCTGTACCCACTTGTTAAACTGTGAATTGACACTGCATGGGGTCACCTAACTGATTATGCTGGCCACCAAAACACAGCAACAGTAAAGGTTTATCAATGTGCTATCACCAAAACTCAATTCAAAACCAAGTCCAGGTGTTTTGAGAAGTACTTGCCCATGTAGTACCTTGTAACTTTATTGCCTTGGTTCTGAGCATACAACATGTGTACTTTATACAGAAAGTGCTGTCGTCATGCTACATGCTACTAAGGAATGCTGTTCAGAGCTCTCAGCTTGGAGCCAAGGTTGTCCCGTGTTCAGAACTGCAGTGTATCCACCGTGCAAACATTTCTGCTTATAGAAACAGTGGTTTAAGTACAGAAAAGGCGACTTTTAATGTCTCCTGCTATCATTATCCAGCAAGTAAATATCAAATTAGTTTATCTTTGGATTGGATTGTAGTCGAATTCCAGATTGCAAAAAATCAGTTTGAGTTGCTGACTGGAGTCTTGTTAAACATCATGAAATATGGGCTGGCCATTACAGATTATCTCGTTGTTATTCCTTATGCAATAAGTCTTAATAGCTATTTGCATAGCATTGACATTGCCTTTGATATTTTAAAACATTTGAGGTGTGTGTTATGGGGTGTGTGTGTGTGTGTGTGTGTGTGTGTAAACACGCACACAGATTATGTACCATATCATGCATGTGGAGGTTCGAGGACAACCCTTGAAAGTTGGTTCTTCTTTTCTACCATCCACATGACCATTCAGGAATCAAACTCAGGTCGCCAGGCTTAGCAGTGAGCACCTTCATCCACTGAGTCATCTCAGCTGACCCTGTGTTTGGTACATAGGTCACCCAGGAATGATTTAAAGTGTATGGGAGGCTAGTCTAGGTTCTGTGTAACACCATGCCATTTTACAGGAAGGGCTTGGGCATATGTAGGGATGCTGGACCAAATCCCCCTTGGACACTATGGGACACCTGTAACTGCCCTAGGCAATCTCCCTTTACGTTATTTCATCTTCTGTTTTCACGGAAAACTGAAGGGGAAACGTGTGGTTTGATCCAAGGCAATCTGAATCTGTATGTAATTAGGAGATAAAGGTATTTCTGTAATTAGTACAACATTTTAGAGGAAGTCCAGACGCACCAGGTTAGAGTCTGTGGGGTTTATCTTGCAGACCTGTGGTTGGGTCTCAGTCCTGCCACAAAGGCAATAGCTCAAGTCACCTCTCAGGAATTTGCCCAGCAGCTGCAGACTCAGAGATAAGAGTCAAAGGAAGCTCAGACTTGAATGAGCAGGCAGAGGCATTTGAAGGGTTTTCACTGGCACCACCTTTCTGGGAGCAATGTTTGGTTCCAAAGAGCTTTAAAGCTGTGTTCATGACTTGGCACAAACTCTGTGGAAGGATGCCTTTTTCATCTCATCTACATGTCTTGAACAGCCTTTCAACAGGGGGTGGGACAGAGTCTGGGGAGACCCAGGCAAAGGGACCTTTTCTGCTCAGGCAAGAATAAGGCAGACATGATTCAGTAAGTGGGACCTTATTGCTTAGTGATTTTCCCATTTTAACACAGATTTCCACATACATGTAATGCACCATAAAATATGGCATTATGGTGTTCTTAAATGAAACCAAGCAGACTTGTCATAATAGATACGGAATGGTGATGATGATGATGATAATGTAGGTTAATTAAAAGGCAAGCCTGGTCTACTTAGTGAGTTTCAGGACAGCTAGGGCTATGTAGAAAAACCCAGCCTCCAAAAAGTTAGGGAAGGAAACTAGAAGGTGAGGCTATTTGTAGGGCTGGGATGGGGTTGACAGACAGGGGAGGACACACGGAGTTCCCATTTGGCCTGTGGGGAACCTGGATGGGGTGCTGGAAAACTGGCTATGGCATAGGGCAGTAGTCAAGAGCCTGGAAGCAGTCCTAATGTGGTCTGTGGCTCAGCATGAGGCTTGGCCCTTGTGGACTGCAGATTCTAGGACGTGTTTCACTTGTTGGCTTTTGGTGGTGTTTTTGTTTTTGTTTTTGTTTTTGGTTGATGTTTGTGGATTTGGGAATACGCGAATACTGGTTGAACATCCCTAATCTGAAAATCCATAGCCAAAATGCTGTAGAGTTCATCACGCTGGCGCTCAAAAGGTTTCAGATTGTTCAGGTTAGGAACGCTCAACCTCTATGATTCTGGTTTACAAAGCAAGAAATGATCCCAGTTTGGGAGCAGTGAGCATCACACAGAAAGCCCACAACTTGAGAAAGAATAATTTGCTCCTAGACTGAAAATGTTTAGAAGTCCTTAGGTTTGCAATGTGCATTGAGTGCTGGTACCCAGGATAGTTCACTGGGAGAAGAGGGGAGGCTGGAGTCTGTCTCAACAAGCTCCACCATTTGGGCAAGTGGCCCTTTCCCTTTTCTACATGGCCTTAATTAGGAGTGGCGAGGGTCACTAGAGAATCCTAAGGTGTGGTAATGTACCGTACTCGGGTGTGTGGATGTAGAAATTTGCTGAGGGAGTGTGTGTGTGTGTGTGTGTGTGTGTGTGTGTGTGTGTTGGCATCTGTGAATAAGGAGGTTTTGGATTTTGTGGTCCTAATTATCTTTTTGAACTGTTCACGTAAAGGGAGGGTGCAGACAAGAAGAAATGATTGTGCACTTTCTGCAAAGACACAGCAGAGGGAAGGCCAAGCCCATCATGAGACTCTATGCCATGCAACATTTCCAGTTAAGTTGAACTCAGTCCAAATGGCCACTCTCAAACGCTCCTAAAACACAAGGCAGACAAAGACGCTCTTAAGAAAGCTTGTCAGGAAGTGCCCTTTTTTTTTTTTTTTTTTTGGTTTGGGGGTTTTTGAGACAGCATTTCTTGTAACCCGGCTGGCCTCAAACTTGCTTTGTAGCTGAGGATGGACTTAAACTCTTGATTTTCCTGTCTATACTTCTGGAATACTGGGATTATAGGCATGTGTCACTAAACCAATTTCATGATATTGAATGAGAAAATTCTAAAATATGGTCCTCTGATGTAAAATCTGTGTTTTTATCTTCCCTGGTCTTCTCTCTCTCTCTCTCTCTCTCTCTCTCTCTCTCTCTCTCTCTCTCTCTCTCTCACACACACACACACACACACACACACACAGCTATGCATACATGCCCAAATCCTAGTCTCTATTTCAACAATTTCAGAATAATTTGAAGCAGATTGCTCCAGTACATATTCAATGATTCCCATACCTTTGTAGCTTCATGAATGCTAACAGAGCCTCACCCCCAAACCCCCATCTCAGATGTACCCCCTTTCTGCTTCAGAGCCCACACACTGAGCTGACCCCCAAGTCAAGAGCATCTGGGGTTAGAAAAACACGACCAGGCAGGAATCACCTCTTCTTTAAAGACTTTATTTGCCATGTTCATCCTTTTTCCCACCACCAATGCTCATCCCATCAAATCCATTCATGAACAGCTGAAAGCACTGTTGGCACAGCCCAGACAGCTGGCTGGCATGCCTACCCCAGGCCAGAGCATCGTACAGGCATCAGTGGGTACCATCGACTCAGGCCACCTCCATCTCCCTAAGGGTTTGCCTTGGAAACACTGAGCACTGTTGCATTTCCTCTCCTGTATCTTTTAAATACCTTTTAAAATTCTTTCTTTTTTTTCATTTAATAATAGAAAACAAAAAGTAAAACCTTCTATAATTTATAAGCTATCTTTTGCTATCTAACATTATATATAAAATATAGACTCTGTTTTACTTTATAACACACATCTTTTCCCTTTGATAAATAACTTTAAAATATCTAGTATACATGCCTTGACTTTTTATATATACGTTTGGTTTTTATACATATACATACATATATACTCACATTTGTAAAACAATAAATATACCCTTGACAGTGACAACCAAACCAATGCAATTTTGGTTTTAGAAAAAGGAAATGACATACTATAAAAGCACCAGGCAGCAAACAAAGCCATAATTGCTAGAAAGTTTTCCCTCCCCTAAACAAGGGGCAGGGCAGAATAAAGAGGCAGGGTAAGTCATGGGCTTTTGCTTCTTCGCCTGGGCTGTCACTCGGCACTACAAATAAGCCATTGCATTTCTTAGAAGCTATAGGGCTCATTGGACAGCCTAGCCCTTGTGGTGGCTGCAGGGGACAGCAGAGAGCTGAACAGGGCCCAGGAGACAACAGTGAAGTGGTGACTCCATGGCCGTGATGGCTTCCCTGCTCCACTGGCCCAGGCAAGCTTTGATCGCTGCACTAAGCATCAAGCATTTCATCTATAACGTTCTCTTTATCACTCTGTTCTCTGCTGGTGTAAACAAAAGGTTGCAGCAGATTTGAGAGTATTCAGTAGTGCAACATGTCAGTAGCCTGGAGGAGAGCCAGAGGCTTCGTTGGCTCTCTCAAGAACTCCAGCAAATAAGACCCTGATGCAGGGGAGAAAAGGCCAGTGGGGTCGGCTACCTTCTCTTTACTGATGCCGCCATTCACATCGCCAAGCTCCAAGGAGACCACCAACCTCTCACTTTTACAGAAGTACAAGGCGGCATTAACAGCTCTGCAGAGAAGTTCTGGAAGCCGAAGCTAAACTCAGAACGTGGCCCAGTGTGGGCCAGCAGAACATCATAAGTGCCGAAGACCCTGGAGCCACCCTGCAGACTCCTGAACTGGTCCCTTCTTCACCCCCTTCCCTTGCCCAAAGGAAACGAACAGGATGGTCTGGCAGGTGCTATTTTCTCCAGCTAGTTCCCCAGTGTCATCACCCTGACCTGTAACCTTCAGGGATTTGGTGGGCAAAGGAAATCACCAGTGGGTGGAACAAGAGTCATAGGCTAGTCAGGGTCAAGCTTCATATCCACAGCAGGCAATGGTGGCAGAGTGGGCCTCAAGTCCTCCTCCAGGAGTGCATCTGACTCTGTGTCCCCTAGCCTCCATAAAGGCGCAAATTTAGAGATGACCCTTCCGCTATAGTCACAAGGTTTTTGAATACTTTCAAGACACAGCTGAGGACGGGTGGCAGAGAGCGTGCCTAGTATTCACAAAGCCTTGGCTTCTGTCCCTAACACACACACAGTCTTGTAGCATGTTTGTAAAATACGGGCGTATCTGTCACAGCTCAGTGAATACTGTCCGGTGCTGGTCTGTGCTCTCACCCTGGCCTCTCTATACCAAGCCAGACTGTCGGGATGAGCCTCCCTTCCCTGTGTGTGGTAGCCCTGAAGGAGCAGTTCAGTCAGGAAGAAACTGAGGCTCGGGAAAATGGGCTTTTCAACCCTGAGTCTACCATGAAAGAAGGAGACAAGCTTGGCTATTACATTTCTCTCTGGGATTTCAAAGGAAGAACCTGACAGATGCCACCCTGATGTCCTCTCATGTGTATTGGGTTGACTTTCTCCTCAGGGCATCCTTAACAAAGTCTAGTTCCTCCAGTACCCACTGGGAAAAGAGACCAGATCAGAAACCTAATTTATAGGCACAAGTCAAGTTCAATAGCTTCAGTCACTGGACAAGACGAATAAGAGAGTGTTTGATGGAACGACGCACACAGCTTCAACCCAAGTCCCATATAAACCCCGAAGCCCTGCTTCCTGGGAAAAGACGTCTTCCTATGTTACACTCAGCCCCCCCCCAGCAACAAAACCCAAGGCCAGCTATCGTAGCCGACAATGCTTAGAAAGTTCCCAGTGCCCAGGGTGGCTGAGTCATTCACAATTAAAAATCAACATAGGAAATCCATCTTAAAAGAAGCTGAGTGACATTTCCACTTGGGAAGGGGAAGACCAACCAGCTGCTTCTGTTGGCAGCTGTAATTGTCAACCTGCTGGCAGGACATCACATTTGCATCCTGCTCAACAAGGAGAGTGCTGTGGATCTCAGACCACTTCTCTTACAGTTTCTCCTTGGGGTGGGAGCACGCCCCCTACAGGGCTTCATGAGAAATGCTTTTCCTGGCAAGAACAACAGAGGTACACATTGTGTTTGCTCACTCATGTGGCTTTGGGCATGTTACATCTTCGTATATACAGAGAGGGAGTGAGGCAGTACCCAATACTATTTTATAGATAATAAGATGATGCACCTACAATACTCTGCATTCGGTGGGAAGGCCAGGTGACGCTGTACCTTGAGTGTCACAGGACCTGACACTGGGGGATGTGCTGTCAAGGAGACAAAAGGAGCTTTGAAGGAACCCCAAGATGCAATTTTACCAATGAGGGGAGAAGTCTTAGAGGAACTGACAGTAGCCACAGAGGAGTTCTAGACTCCAAACTTTGCAGATAAACCTGGGGCATTCCCAAACCCTTACTTTAAAATCTCTGGGAGTCCAAACTTTCACATATATCAAGAAGGAAAAGGGGAAGTGAATGAAAAAGCCCCAAACAGCTTCCATTCCACCAAGCCTTTAAACCATGTAAAAGAAATTAGGAGTGCCTGGGTTGCTGCCAAGACTTAGATCAAAGTCTATTTGCAGAATGTTGTCAAAAGCTTGGGATTCCAGCCTCACATTGCTGCAGCCGATCAAGAATCTGCACGTGGGACCCCAAGGGCTGAAGGAACACTTCAGAAGCCCCTGAACCATCTGTTGTCGTTCTGACATTCAGAGAAGCCCCTGCCTGCCTCTCCCTCCTGTCTCTACCTCTACCCCATGCCTTCCAGTTTCAGTCCGCTTCCTCTTTCCCATGCTGCTTTCGAAGAACGCATATTCTTTCTGCAGCCCCTAGCCTCAAATGAGAGCTTTGGTTTTAGACCTGGCATGTTTATCACAGAGATCGGGGGCCTCTGGAGGGAAAGCCCGCAATATCATGGGTGAAGGAGAGAAACAAATTGAACTCTCAAGAACATCTACTTAGATAAATGACTTGGAGAAACGAACCCCATGGAGTCATCTACCATGCCCCGATTTTACCTTCAGTCACAGCTGTTCAGGATAGCTAAGGGGGGATTACTCCCTAGAGAGCAATTTATGAGAGAAAGAACCCCCCCCCAAAAAAAAGTCTATGATGTGGCCCTGTGCACAGACTCCCAGTTTCAGCTGACTGACTTTACCATATTGCAGGAGGGCTCCTAGCAAGGCAACACCCGCTAGAAACCTCCTTCCTGCTGGAAAATGACCGCCATTCCACTGGTGTGTGGCTTCCAGTATGGCGGTGCCCAGGAATTACCAGGGAGGAGCATTAGCTGTTCCGGGCAGACAACTTCCAAGGACTAGTCTATGTATCCAGCCTCAAAACTACCACACCGAGTGAACATTGGCGAGGTCAACCGAGAAAAAGAGAAGTCCCTGTTTTCAAACTGGATGTGATTGACCAGGCTCGAATTTTAAAGACTGTTTTAGTGATGTTTGAGGATAGCAAACATTTACAAGGGTGCATCTGTAGACTTGGTCTAAGCTAGTACTTGGCCATCTCTAGTTTCACACAGAGAGTAAAATGACAAAGGATCAGGAGAGGAAGTAAAAGATGCCCCCCCCCAATGTGAACCTTCTCCACCTATGTATACCCCCTCCTGGGGATCTCAAGCCCCCTTTAGAAACACTGAGAATATAATCCCTGTTGGCTTTTTTTTTCTTAATACCTAGTCAAGTTTCCAGCTATTGGAATCCTGAAAATCAAGGCCAAGGGTAAGGGAAAGAGCCCGACTCTTCTTAAGAGAAAAGGAGTCTATGGGCATGAAGCAAATGGCTTCCTATCTAAACTCACAAATGTCTAATGTCTTTCCTCCTAAATGTGTTTCTTCTGCTTGGCAGCTGGGCTTACAGCAACTCTGGGGCTGGGCTCGTGTTCCCTTCTTTTGGGGCGCTCATACTGCGACACCCAGGAATGTAGCTGTCCTGACCCAGGCAGGCAGCTACAGTCAAGCCTATGCTATGTGTGGCATTCTTAGCACTGCTTAGACAGCCTTGTGGCAGGACGGTTTGATTGCCACTCGTGCTGATTCCACCCCCTTCTGAAGTGGCTTCTTGAAGCCTGTCTGTCATCTGGGGTCACCTCAGGGGTACAGATTACCACTTATTTGCTCTCCATTACAGACGCCGCTTACCAAGTAAACAGCATTGGGCCAGTTAGGCCCTAATGCTTCCTAGGACACAAAGCAAGCAAGGAAGCTGAGCACTTTGCTACCAAGTACTTTTCCTTCATATCCTTAAAGAAAAACACACAGTGGCTTCCCCAGTGACAACTTTCTCACCAACCCCACCCACCTCCTCTACCTCCCTTCACCAAAAAAAAAAGCAAAACCAAAAAAACCCCTTTGAAGACATTTGATGAAGTGCCCTCTCCTGCCAGTGGGGGGCGCTGACAGAGCCTAGCTCCCACTGAGCTTATCAGATACACAGTCTTGGCTTGCAAAGATGGCCACGACTGATGAGGTAGGGCGGGGGCGGCCCCTCCTTGCTTCTCACAGTAATGGACTACAGAGGTGCTAGTTATACCCCCTTCCTTTCACACGTCTTCCTGAATACGAAATCTCGGGCTCACCACCACCTTTGATGGGGCCCTCTACCTAGGATGGGGACTACCTTCTTAAGTGCCGCGCATTCATGCTGCCCCTCCCACAATCCCCACCCACGGCTCCCCTCTCCACAGTGCATTTCCCCCTAACTGGCACCATGCAGCAGGTCGAGTCCACCAGGTCCCAGTGCTAACAGTAGAGGGACATCCTGCTTCTGCGCATGGCCTCGCTGATCAGGTAGGCGGGGCTCAGCTCTGGCTCCTCGGTCATGATGGCAATGTTCTGCCACTCTCCAGTCTGGCTGGACCTCTTGATGGTGTCTACCACGCAGAGAGCATACAGGCAGTCGTCGAAGGTGGCGGCCATGGTGAGAGGCCGACCGTCCCACGTGCGCCGGTCATCCTGATCCTGGAAAGCCTGGCGCACTGCCTGCATCATCTTCATGGTGCCCCGCAGGTAGGGCGAGGGGATGTCGCTGAATGCCTTCTCGGGCAGCAGGGAGTTGCTCACGGATGTAGTGTCCTGCAACAGCAGCTCCTGCTCCGGGGCGCTATTGCGCTGCCCGTAGAGGTCGGTGCCCACTGCCAAGAGCCTCCCTGCAGAGCCCACCACGGTTACGTCCTGCTTGAACTCTCCAGGAACGTTGAAGTTCAGGGTAACTGTGCAGCAGACTCCACCCTCCAGGACCATCTGGAAGGTGCAGAAGTCATCGCTGGTGATCTGACGGATACCCTTGATGTGGTCCGTCTGCTTTACAAAGGTCTTGAGCAGCCCATGGACTTTAACTGCCTTCTGGCCAGTGAGGAAGGTAAGCAGGTCGATGATGTAGGTGCCCACCGAGTGCAGGCCGCCACCGCCCATCAGGTCATCGCAGCTCCAGTTGTACTTCTTGCCCAGCAGGCTCCCGCTGTGCACCTGCACCTCACACACCAGCAGCTCGCCCACATAGCCCTCCTCGATCAGCTGCTTCATGCGGACGAAGGCTGGCAGGAAGCGCAGCACGTTGCCCATGATGCTCATGAGCTTGGGGTAGTAGTGGGCTGCTGACATCATGCGAAAGGCGTCCAGCGGCGTCGCGGTGCGGTCACAAATGACATTCTTGCCTATGCCTGAGGAGAGCAAAAAACGGTAGATCAGTATGCTGTAGAGGAGAGAGCCACCCCAGGGGAGTAGAGCCCTGTGTCTGTTTTCACACTCTTTCCTAACATATAAAAGTAATTCATCCTATGGCCTAGCATGTGCAAGGTCCTGGGTTCGATCACCAGCACCACACACACAGATCCATCCTACATATTTCAATGTTACTTGAATTCTTACCATTAAGCTATTAACATTGATCTAAAGAGTAATGCTTAATATACTATATCGCCTGCCTGCATTTAAAAATATACTGAATTTCTAAATACGTAAAATACCTTATTTGATGGTTTTACAAATGTGTAAAGAATAAGAAATGTTTATTTGCAGCTGGGCGATGGTGGCGCACACCTTTACCCAGCACTTGGGAGGCAGAGGCAGGTGGGTCTGCTAGTTTAAGGCCAGCTTGGTCTACAGAGAAAGACCTGGGGCAGCCAGGACTGCACAGAGAAACCCTGCCTCAAAAAAAAAAATTCATTGCTTACAAACTGCTTTTGAAATCTTTAGTTACACAGTATCTTTTTCTGTGTAAAATACATTTCACTAAAATTATCTCATAGGTAAAAGTTATTAAGTTTATATATTACATGAAGTTTTAATAAAACTATGTTGTTAAAAAAAAAATAGCCTTTTCTAGAGAGGAAAGAGAATAACGGTATAGAACCAGGGTATGTAAGTTCAGGTCCTAGACAGAGAAGGCGAGTCCCAACATGAGGATGCGCTTCCTTTGGAGGAGAGAAGGCTGACATTGGGGTTCACGCTGTAGCCCAAGCCTGGCCTGGACACAGCAACCTTCCTGCTTCGGCCCCCAGGTCTGAGATACCAGGCACGAGCCTCCAGACTCAACCAAACGTGTCTTAATGATACTCTGAAAGCTTTGTGGCTGTTCCTCCCCCACCCCACCCAGGATTCTATTCAGAGTTTAATTTGCATTCTGTTGGAATGGTTGGACTTGGTCACTGGCAATGCTTAGTTGAATATTTTTCTCATGCCATCAAGAGCCCGGCATTCATTTCACTTTAGGGGTGGGTAGTACCTGCTTCCTCTTCCATCCCTATCTGTCTCTGGATGGTCTTATTGCTTTCAGCCAGTAGAGCTTGGCCAAGTAAGAATGGGCATCCTACTATGTCAGTAGTGGTGTGTAACTTATAGGGCACGGCACGATGCCTCTTGGAGCCCTTTAGAGACTAAATGCTCCTGGGTCTGGAGCAGAAACAGATCAAAGGAAGAGAGAACCACAGAGACTGACACGGGGTTTATTCTGCAGAAGCCAGGAGCCTGAGAGGAGGAAAAACTCTGCTGGACCTGGAGAAATGGCAACCGGAGTGTAAGCACACAGACCTGCTAACCAGCCAGGTAAGATGTAGAGGGAGCTACCTAGCCGATGCATGGCCTGATGTATGTAGACCCTCCGCTGGAGATGTGGTCACTCAAGCTGCAGAAGAGAGAGGGATCCCAGGGCAAGGGGACTCTGATGAATCATAAGCCCCAAACTCACTTGTCCAGACTATGGGTCGGACAAAATCTTTGAACTCATTAAACAAGCTGAGTTTGTGGCAGCCCTGTAATTATAGATGCCTGAATATGGGGTTTCCAGGACCAGGGGTCCTCTCATTTCCCCACTGGACAAGTTAGCCAAACAGAAGTGATTGGCACAAGGGGGGAAAAAAACCACACAACAGATAGCCATGGTTGTAGTGTGAATTCTAATTGGTTTTAATAATAAAACCCAGAGTCAGATATTAGGGGGATAAAACTGAAAGATAGAGAAGCAGAGCAGCCAGCTGCTAGAGTTCTTTTTACCTCTACCAAATCCTCAGACGGAAGAGGGCGAGATTCTGTCTCCCTGAATCCTCAGATTGAATGCCATGAGCTCCTGTTTCTCCTGCCTTATATTCCTCTCTTTGTCTAACCCTATCCCTTCCTGTCTCCACCTCCTTAGTGCTGGGATCAAAGGAGAGTGACTCTCCAGTACTGGGATTAAGGGTGTGAGCCACCACCACCTGGCTCTGTTTCTCTTTTAGACTGAATCTTGTGTAGCCCATGGTGGCCTTGAACTCACAGAGATCTATCTGCCTCTGCCTTAGGATTAAAGTGTGTGCCACCACTGACTGGCCTCTATAGCTAACTAGTGGCTAGCTCCACACTCTTAAATTTAGGCAAGTTTTATTTGTTAGATCACAAACAAAATACATGATCTTCCACACGCACACCGAGTTGTAGCCCTCAGTGCCAGCATTAAGCATAGAGTGCCTGACTCTGCTTGCCAGTTCCATCTGGCAGTTTGGCTGTTCCTTCTCTGAGGATGGAGGCTCCGGCAGTGGGATGAGGTAATGATGGCTTACATCACCAGCTGCCATCTCCATATATCACACAGTGTTCTGACAACAGGTTAGTGTTGCCAAGGACAGATGTGCATGTAAACAGATTATCCCTACGATGATGGTGACAAATACTGCCAACATCTGTATTACTCCTATGGAGCATGGGTTCTGGCAGATGCCAGACCCTACCGCAAGTTCCCCTGAATCAAACCATCTCTCTTGCACGTGTGAATGACACTTTTGGAAATGTTTTCTAGTATGAAAACAAAACCAATCCACTTCACCACATATACCCCAAATGAGCCATGAAAGGGCAGCTGTGTAGATGAAAGGATCCCGAGGAGTGTTCTGGAAAACGGAGGATGAATATACACAGAATAATACCCCATCCCCAAATCTGTAGATAGATCCTCATGGGTACAGCATCCCTCCCATTGGGCTATTGCTGCATGCCGTGGGTTCCCACATCCAGTAAGATCCTCAAGGATATAAACTTGATGTTGTCCATGGTATGGTCATAGCCAGAGTGTCCTGCACGCATCATACCCAGCCCTTGGCCTTCAGTCTGTGACAGCCGTGCTTTGCAGATGGGGTTTTGGTAACACCTTTGTATAGTCTATCCTTGAACATTGTAAGCAACTTCTAGAAATCAAAGAAAAAAAATCCAAAACACAAACAGTTGCTGCTCCAAAGGTGCTTTGTACATTTTATTTATAGAGCAAAAGCCTGGGAACTGCATAGGTGACCAAGAATGGATAAGGAAACTGGACTGCAGCCTTCCAACAGAATAGCGAGCACCCACAAAGACTGTTCAAGGACACACAAGATGACTGCGAGGCAGCGGTGTGTGAACAGGCTGCATTCAAAGTGCTATGACGCCATCGCCCTTGAAGGAGACAGAAGCATGCATTGGCAGGGAACCCTCACAGTGGTTTACTCTTAACTCTGGTCACTAGAGTTTTGCAGTCTAGGGGCTGAATGAGGTCTTGACACAATCATCGTGGGTGCTCTCTCACTGAGCTGAAGTACTTCCAATTTTATCTGTTCTTTTTTGCCTGCAATGATCAGAGGGGAAAAATGCCCCTTTTTTTGGTTTTGTTTTCTACTCTTGAAGGGGACAGAGAGACTCTACTCAGAGTTATGGGAAAGAACCCTTATCTCTTGGACTCCTTGAATTTGCTAAGTTTCAGAGGCTCAGGCTCTGCGCATGCTCCCCCCCCCCCCCCCCCCCCCCGCTGTTAGACTCTTTTTGCATGTGGTGCTGGGGGGTGAAATACAAGGTCTCGTGGCATGCTAGGAAAGACCTCTGCCAGCAATCCAATGCCCTACCTCCCTTCATTTTTTTTTTGAGGCAGGGTTTGGCTAGGTTACCCAGGCAGAACTTTAATAGCCCCGTTAGCCCACTGAGCTGGAAACTGTGATCCTCCTGCCTCAACTTCTCAAGTAGCTGGGATGAGAGAGCTGCATCACCAGAGACAAAGCTGTTTTGGACTCACCATATGCAGTCAGACTGTGCCTTCTCTAAGGAAAAAATGGGAGCGCCATTGCCACCACCCCATATCCTTGTGGCAGTATACGCATAAGGTGTAATAGCACACCTCATAGCGAATGCATCTTCCCTCAAGGGCAGAGGACCCCGACCCTGGGAACTTCCAACAATCTCCCAGAATATTCACACGGCGGTGAACTCAACAAAGGCCCTTGGAACACATGGATTCCATCTCTCTGCACACACAGGAAGGGCAAAGCGGATGAAAGGCAAAAGAAGTGGCCAAGAAAGAGGCATTTGTGGTTTTGCAAACCCCAAACATTTTGCAAACACTGGGAGAACTCCATCAACGTCCTCTGGTGTTCCCAGCAATGGGATCAGGCAGGCATTCTGCATGCCCACTGCAGCTGAGACCAATACTAGCCACCCCGTGACTTCACCCCAGAGGCTGGGGACTGTTCTCACAGCTCCAAACTCAGCTGGCTCACTGAGAGACCTGTCCCCATGCCCAGAAATAAGTAGCTTGGGATACTGCCACTTCTGTCCATGTGGTTCTGTGTGACCAAGAGTTAGTGGTAGAGAAGACATCTTGGTCTTCTGGGGAAGGCTTCTTAACTGTCCTTTTCATGGGCTTCTGCCCTTTGTAGAATGGTGCAGACCTTAAGACAGGTCTTTGGAGACCTCTGTATCTAACCTAACTTCATTTATAGGACTGGAACCCCCACCAACAAATAAAGTGAGAGCTACATGATCATTAAGGAGAAAAATAGGAACCTCCCCCTGTAGGCATGGGGCTGAAACTGGGACCCTAATGGATGGTAAACAAACTCTTGGCAGGAGGTACGGTGGGGGGGGGGGGGAGGAGCTTTTCATCAAAAGCAGAAGCTTGATGCCCTCCTAAGGTCCCTCACAGTTTCTTCCAGCCCGCTGAGTGTGTTTCCTGTCACTGGGCTAAATGCCCATGGCCTTCACAAGGAATCGACGCTACAGATGGAAGACGTTTCCAACTGTACGATCTGTAAAGCCATCTGTAAACAGCTGTTTCCCTCATCTCCTTCACACTCAGAATCTCCAAGTTGTGACTGAGTTCTGACTCAGGTCTTGACCACCAAAAGACCAGTGTTGAAATACGGAGCAGCGGGCTGTGTCCCGCCACCCG